TTCGACATTCTTACCGTCTCAATATAACTACAATGATCGCATCCCAGAGGTACGACCACGGGTATTCATGCGTTCCGCAACTAAACGTCTTGAAATAGCAACTGTACGACGAGATCGTCGCAGGAACAGAGTCAGTTGTATCTATCTTCCAATTCTCACAAGAACTGACTGTCACGTGTAGGTGTGGCTCGAGCCCAGACACTCTGTCCTGCCTTCGCGCCGCCGACGTCAACACGCTGGAAACATTGAACTTAAATATCATCTTGGAGGGATTTTACGGTACTTTCGTCTTTGTTCCCGTCGTCGACGGCACCTTCATTGTCGAACGCCCGACTGTCACGATCACCAGAGGTCGCCTTAACACGGTAGGCCAATCCAGCACGAGAGGCTGGATATTGACTGAATTCTCTATGCAGGAAGTGCTTCTCGCGGTGACCAACGCGCATGAAGGAAACGTCTTTGTCGATCAGTCACTTACAATGAACATCTCGGACTATGTTTCCACCCTGTTCCCTGATGTTGAACCTTGGCAAGCTGCGTTGGCAACTCCTATATACCAGAGTTTTGGCACCAATGTCGAGCAAGCTAACTACGCAATGGGCGAATGTAAGGTTCATATAATGGTTGGGCTCAGCGTAAAACTGACCTGACACGCGTTCAAAGCTATCTTCGTCTGCCCTACTTACTATCTCCTTCACGCTTTGAGCACCAAGGCCTGGAAGGTGAGCTTCAAGCTCATAGGCATTCATCGTTCTTGACGAGCAATTTTTAGGGCGAATTCGCTATCCCACCTGCATTTCATGGCACGGATCTCCCTTATTACTTCACGTCGTGAGTGACCTTTACCCGAATCTGCGACTGCTTCCAAATTCCTCCCGCAGGTATGGCCCTGCATACGACAACTCGGAGTTCATCACCGCCTTCTCGAACGGGTTCTTGGCCACTGCCATTTCGCTGGACCCTAACGCCAAGTACAACTCTAGCGACATCACTCCTGAATGGAATGTGTGGGCACCCGGGCACACGGAAATGATGTTCAACGAGACGGAGGCGGGGGCACCGATTGTATACCCCTACTCGACGGACGATGCGCTGCTTGAGCGTTGCCAGTGAGTGTTTGAAGCTCGTCTGTTCTCCCGAAGATGCTCATTGTATATCTATAGGTATTGGCTTAGTATCTCCGCGAATACGGCACAGTAGGCTCTGGGGTAGTGCTCTGTGGTGGCCGGAGGACTATGTACTAGTAGGTTGCACTGTGGGTATCACTCGCAGCGTAATTCATAGGGTCATATCCTATAAACACCAATCAAGAATAGCGTAAGACTCCAACAGCACTTGACCATGCACCCGGATCCATCTTTGTATTTCAGCATCTTCAGGAGCTGGAAAGTTACAGATGGCGTAAGACTTCGAGAGCAGTTGGCCGCGTGCTCGTATCCATCCTCGATCATCCTCAACAGAGGGCCAAACTCGGCGATGTCATCCACCGCCGTCTAGCCCATCCTCACGTAGCCATCCAGTCGTGCTCTCCATTCCGCAACGGCCGTCGTCTTAGATATAGCTGGAGCTGCATGAGCTCGTGTCGGGACAGACTATTGAAAGGGAAGGAAGACGTTAGAAACATGCTGCCGCTCAGCGGCGTGAGATTCTCGCTAGCTTCCCAGTGCATATCCCATTCTAGAAGGACCTCGTTGCGTAGTTTTCCATCTTAATCTGGAGGGCGTTGTTAGGGGCCGCGAAGCGGGATATGTGCGCCCCGAAAACAATCTTGTACAACTGCCAATTGTCAGCCAACGCGGCGCTCCAACGGAAGCTAGCCGGTTACTGCGCACATAAGAGACCAGATTTCGCTTGCAGACGTTCTAGGAGGATCAGCGTTGATCTTCACTCGCTCGAGTATAATTTCGACGACCCGTACCGGCTGCAATCGTACACGACGGGTGTGGAACTCGCAGCTGAAGTTCGATCCCAGGTGCTAGACGGAAGGTAAAATTGGGCCAAAGAGTGAAGATTCAACGAGCCACTGCCAAGATCCTCAAAAGTACTCTACAAGACCAAAAGAACTTCGCCCGAGATCGTGGAGAAGGCGATACTAGCTTGCCACACCTGACGTTAGGATGTTCCTCAGCCAGACAGGACGATAGTCTCCGGTTAGATCGCGATTGATATCCTCTACTTTGTCGTCTGCGCCCCAATGCAGTGAAATTTTCGCTGGTTGAGTCGATATGGTCGTATACACGAACTTGAATTGAGAGTCAGGCTGGCCCTGACTCAGACTAGCGGAAGGGTACTCGTGAGATCGCGCACATCCGGTATGTATAACTACTCCGTGTCGTTCGTATCGCCGGATCTCGAGCAGGTGCGTTCATCATACGTCCTGGCAGATCACTCGTAACGCGCGCAGTCAACACCGACCCACAGTTGGTTTGCAGGTGGCAGGCCACCCGCGAAGGCGACTTTGGCCGACCGTGAGCAGCTGGGACAGCTCGTGCTACCCTCCGAGCCCAACGTCTTGAGGAGAACCTACCTTGGAGAGAGGATTCAGGTACGTCTGTGAGCTGCTGATCTTTGCCAACGTATCGATGCCGCACCCATCGTCTATGCGATAGCAGCATCCTGCGTACCTGGTGAGAGACAGGGTGCTCCCTCCCCCGGTGATGCGGTGTGATTTCGCAGCCAAATCTCTCGTTATGTATAGAGATGTATGCAAATGGTGCATCTATGCAGCTCGCAAGTTGGTACCTGCGGTGTTTCGTCTCACGCTAGTACATCGACTTGCGCCTCGGCACCCGGACCCCAGCCCACATGTACCTTCCTCGCTCCATATATAAAATCGCGCGAGTGCAGGACAAGCGCAGCTCGAGCTCTAGTGGCACTAGAACGGTAGGCACGCCCCTCACGTACCCATCTCGAAACGAGCAGCACTGTATTCACGTCTTGCTCTGTCCAGGCACCATGACCTCATATCCGTGGGTCCAAGGTATCACCGGGACCACAAGCCTCCTCGTGAGGGGCCCCGCATGCCACAACGTCCACATCTACTATGTCGGCCGAGAGAGCCAGATCATAGAGCTCGAATACAACTGTTCGCAAGACCCCGCGGCCACGCAGATCTCCTCGCAATCTATGACCATCACCGGCACCTACAGGGCGCAGTAGAGCTTCGCCCTCGCGGCGGTCGCCTTCGACACCCAGGTGCGGTCCCATTCCAGGCGCACGTCCTGGACGTGAGCGCGCGGCGGAGGCTGACCGGGCGCGTGCGCAGATCCGGGTGTACTACACGAACACTCAGAACACCGTAAGCGAGCTCATTTACGACGGCGCAAAATGGTCCGACGCGGACTCGACGCTGAGCGCGAAGGGGTTCATGGTCTACACACTCAGCATTCTCTACGCGACGGCCACCCGGAACGACGGGGGGCGTACGAGATCCACGTGGGCTTCCAGCCTGCGCGCAGCCCGGGGTGTATACAGGAAGCGCACTACGTTGATGGGGAGCGGCATCTGCTGGAACTGGTGTAGGGAGCGCACTGCGCGGGGATGCGGTCGCATCCGACACCATCCGGATTGCGTATGGATGTAGCTCGATGTTGTTCTTTCCTTGCCTGTCGGGTTTGTAGCTGAGGTGTCACGCGATGATACTGTATATAACATGCGCTCCTGGAATAACTTCTGTGATTGTATATTCTCAACGGAATTGAGGCTGGACAGACGTAGTAACTCGGGCTATAAGTGCACATCGTAGTCCAAAGACAAGGCATGTATAAGCAAAGGTTGAACTTCGCTAAACTGTTGCAGGAAACGGTAGAGTGCGGCGCGCGACCGGAAACTATTCGAGATGACTCGGAGCATCAGCCACAACGGCGCACATTTTGTGACTGAGTACTTTCCAATTCTTCTCTTTCAGCCTACATTTTCGAGCACCCGAACATTGGACAAACGGAGATAATGCATCTCCGAGATTGTTTGAGGATCTTCAGTCGGCTGAAATCCGACTTTCATACCAATGGCCATTTGGTTGTCATACAAGTGCGCGCGAGAGGACAGCTGCCCCCTTTAGCCATCTTATATTCCTCGGCACCAAAGTTTTCCAAGGCCCATGGCGACGCAGTGGTGAAGTATATCCGGCAAAGCGTATCGTCTTCGCCGACGTAAAAGTCATAAATATAGAGCGCACAGGCGGTCAGACATGCAGTAGAAAAACACATGAGATGACCTTACGGCCGGGGAACTGTCTTTGTTGTGAATCCAGGTAATTGCAGCGACAGGCGACTACTTGCGTGCCAGTTTCGCATCCGAGGTCACCTAAAGTAGAGGATAAATTACTTGCTTATTCCTTCGTACTGGTCTGCAACCAACGTGCCCCTGCCCGTCTTCTGCAATGTCCAAGCCTCGCAATCCAAGCTCTTGCGCGCTACATCGCAGTCCAGGCGGTCCTCGATCAGCGCCAGCCCTTGCAGACCGTCGTCGTCTTTCTCCTCCCTGATGAACCCCGCGATCAACAGACGCGTCTCGACGCCATAGAAGTCAATCGCGAACTCGTGGAGCATATGCACCTCAGCCGACCGCGTCGTGTTCTTGAAAACCTTGTTGTACCCGATCGACATCACCATGGGATATACGCTGAACCCGGACTCGGAGTGCGCCTCCAGGGCCGTGGTTGTCGTGGTGGTGATGTCTGACGATGTCGTCGGTTCGTTTGGATGTGAAGGCGGTAGGCGTAGGGAGGCCCAGCCAAAGTACACTCCGGACTCGATATCAGCGATCCGTGGTGTCAGGCTGTTGTCGACGGGGAGGTTGGTAGTGGGGATACCTAGTTCTTTGGAGCCACGCCCGCAGCCTCTGATTACTTTGCGCTTCGAGCCCCGTAGAGGAGCCGATGGTGAGTGGACGGGCGGTGGCTATTGGCGTCATAAGCACACCGAGGATTGCGATGTTGTTAATAGAAGTTGAGAGCGTTGCTAGCAGGAGATGAGGGGGGAATTCGTAGCCGCAGTTGTCGACTATAGTTGTCGAGGATATAGCCTGATCGATTTTCTATCTCAGCGAGGGAATGGCAGTTGCAGGCTTGTCGAATTGTGACTCTTACCGGCGACAGCGAGAAAGGCCTCAGAGATTCTAGCTACAACCCTTCCTCCATATCTGACTATGGTTGGCCCAAGCCTAACTGGAGTTCATATAACATGTTCCAACCAGTGACAGTCGTGGTCTCAGCTCGATACACCGTGACTGGACTTTTATGTTGGTGACAGTGGCTTGAACCTTGACAAGAATGGGTCGTTGGTTATCTGTTTCTATCTCTTCCTCAATGAAGTTGAAGGCTCCGTCTTGCGAAGTACAACCATGACTCCGTGTCGCTACCGCGCTGCCGCATCGTAGTTGGCAATAAATTTGGTCAAATATCACTGTTAGATTTTATCGACAGTATGAATTGCCGAGTGTGCGTCGATTTCATATTCAATATTGTCACGATTCTGACCGGTAGCCAGAGCAGTGGTAGTGGTACTCAATTAATGTATTTTTCACGTCAAGTTGAAGTCGTAGTTCAAATTATTTATTGTTGGATAGGTATGATGTTGACGTACGCCATTTCGTGCTGTTGAGTCCAAATTGACATCAATGTCACCTCCGAGGTAAAGTAGTCGAGCTCCCCAGCCGGTCATCCGGATCCTTCGCTGGTTACAGCTGCTTCGATATGAGCGAAATCCACGCCATAGTTTCGTTACTTCACCATCGACCTCATGTGGTCCTTGCTAACTAAAATTGAACAACTTACTTGATGGTAAGTGGTCACTGTACCAACGGTGAAAGATGCGTGCGGTTTCGCCGCTCTCGTTGTCAGCGCTACACGCAGCGCGTTTATCTTCCGAACTGTTTTTGTATTGCATTGACATGCTCAGCAGACTGTGAAAAATGTTGCCGAACGCTGAGCCTGATGTCATTCTGCGTATTTCAATAGGTGCGCCATATATGTTGTCACTCCCTCAAATATCTGCCCCGGGCTGTACCATTTTAAATTGTATGCCTATCCATCCAGTTACGCTGCGTTGGATTCATGTACATACGGCCGCCGTCTCAACCCCTTCGAAGTAAACATGCTGCCAAATCTTCATTCAAGACAGCCTGCTTCATCATCGAAACTATTCTGCTGTCAGAAATAGACGGAGATTTGTGGTCTAGCTGATCATATGGTCGTAAGTTGCGTTTTTTCTAGTCTAGTGTTGTAGTCTTCCATGCCTTGATTATCTGGAGGATCAAAATGATGAGTCATTTCCATTCTCTTTCGCTGCTGATTAAGTCTGTGCCCCAATGTGTCTTAGATTGAGTCACCTGGAAAGATATTCTGAGGAGTATATAATGTGTGTGGAGGCAGAATCGAGTCTCAGCAAAATCTCACAAGCAAACAGTCCAATCGCACTGAGTAAGTCAATGACGAACTCGTCAACTGCAGTAGCTTACCTGATAATGCTTTATGTGAACTAGGTGTTCGCATTGCCATGTCCACTCCCTCCTACCCCCCCGTTGGCTACGGCAATGGCGGCGCAGACGTTGTTGTTTCGGGTGGCACCATTCGTACCTTCTATGCAGCTGAGAATAATCAGATATGGCAGCTCGTATACAACAACACTACCACGGCCACTG